CCATGGGGTGTAGATTGGCCTGAGCAAATGTGGTGCCGGTGGACAGAAAGCCTTCGGAGGAGTTAGCGAAATTCCAATGTGTGCGGATCGGCAAAAAATGCGGAATAACCCTTTAACCGTACATTTGACAGATATGCGCGCATTGACTTTTTCGTAGATCTTATTGAGTTACATGTGTGTGTCAATTTTTGTGTCATTTTGACAAAGCGTATAGGCGTGACACTCAACAATGTGTATTTTCACCTTAGGGGACAAGAAAAAATGGACTTTTTTCTCCTGCCATGGGGGGGCGCTCTTTTGGGGAGTAAAAATTCCTTCACAAATGTGTTGATGGCTGGACATTGCATCATCCTAGAAAACTTGGAGGCCAGTGAGGACAAAAATAAAAAGTTATAAGACTTTTAAATATGTGGATTTTAGTGTTATCTTTGGCGCCCCCTAGAACCTAAACCTTGGGGTGCAGCGTCATGATTTTGATAACTTTTAATGGCCACGGGGTGTAGATTGGCCTGAGCAAATGTGGTGCCGCTGGAACGAAAGCCTTCGGAGGAGTTAGCGAAATTCCAATGTGTGCAGATCGGCAAAAAATGCGAAATAACCCTTTAACCGTAATTTTGACAGATACAGCCGCACTGACTTTTTTGTAGATCTTATTGAGATACATGTGTGTGTCAATTTTTGTGTCATTTTGACAAAGCGTACAGTCGTGACAGTGAATAGTGTGAATTTTCACCTTAGGGGGCGCTATGGAGCCATTTTGCATTTTATTGTTTTGGCGACTTCAGAATATCAAATTTTTCACCAGGCCCGGTCGTCCTGCCAAATTTCATGAGTTTTCGCCAGTGGGAAGTGGGCCATTTTCCAGTTCAAAGGGGAGGAAAAAGAAACTAGGACCCCGTTGGGGCACTGGCGGGCCCGAGCTGTGTCGTGTCCCCCCCCCAACGCGCTGCCTCCCCGTCCCATTTGTGTCCTCTGGCCATCGCCCTCTCTGGTAACGCCCATCACTGCAAAGACCCTTTTCCTTCATCGGCGTTTGCTGTTCTTCCTGCCAGTGCGTGTTGCTTTCACTTACACTTGCCACAGCCAGCCTCGTGAGTGCCTAGCCTATTGGATATCACTGTCACCTACACAGGACAGTCATTACCTTTCTATTAATACTTTGTGTTTTAATTTCACATTAATTTCCATATTGTATAAACGACTGGAAAAAACTTGAGCCCCTGCCCCTGTATAAACATGTGCATGTCTCTGTTCTAGCTCCAAGGTGAATCTTCACTGCTCATGTTCTCCTCAGAAGCACTCACCTCACTCCCCTCAGGTTACTGTACACATGCACCAACTGCCTGCTTCAGGTTTGGATGGAGCTTCATGGTTGTCTTTTGGAGAAATGACCAGTCAAGTTGTGTTTGAAATTTGATTTTTTTCAGGGGCAAAAGGAGCCTCTGCATTCTTGTCAAATATGTAAATAGCATGTTTTTGCAGGTGCTAAAAACCAGACTCTGAGTGTGTGTGTGTGTGTGTGTGTGTGTGTGTGTGTGTGTGTCTGTGTGTGTGTGTGTGCGTTCAAGTCACATGACATATTTAACCGGATGTAGCTGCAAGACGGAGCCTCGTTGACTCTCCGTTTCAACTTATCTCAAAAGTGAGGACCTCAACCTATATACCAGTTTTTAAATTGTGTTGATAGGCCAAATAAAACCAGAGTTATGATAAATTATGTCCGCGATACTTTTTTTCTGCTTATTTTGATCACGTTCGGCGCTCGATCGCGCTGTATGAGACAGGAAAACATAGCATGCAGACATTAGCGACAGGTCTTACAGGCGGAAAAGGCTTGCCAAAAGAAAAAAAAAACACACCACAACATCTCTCCTATTGGTGGAAAACTTCACCACAACAACCAATCCAAAATTATATGGTGACTGATTGACAAGGGGCGGGCGCTTACGTTCTTCCTGCAACATGAGAAGGGAGGGAGGGACTCTCAGCAGGGATGCAGTCTGGGACACGTAGTTGCAAACCTAGCGACTTTGTTGTTAGATTCAATGACTTTTCAGACCCCCTAACGACTTTTTTTTAGAAAGAAAGGGACTTTTATCGACTTCTTCTGGAGTTTAGAGACTCTGACATGAAGCAGGCTTTCCTTACTGAGGAGTTAGCTACGCTGCTAAGGGTGCAGAGCTACACATGCGCTCCGAGCTCTGCATGGGAGACTGAAGCTGACAGAGCTGCAGCAGTTAGCAGGTTTCACCCTCAGAGACCACCAGGGGTTCATGTTGAGGCATTTTCAATTTTTTTTTTTCTTTTTGTGCCATAGACACTGTCAGCACAATCTGCAGTTACACTAACAAAAATGCTGCAAAAAACAAAGAATTATGGAAAAATTACACATGGACTGACATAGAGGAGGATCTACACAAGTTTTTTACATCATGTTTTACATCATGCATCATTTACATCATGTTTTTTTTGTAGTGGCATAAATAAAAAGTGACATTTGTGAGACTATACAGTGTTTTGTAAATAATTTTACAAAGAACGCCTGGGCCATTGCCTGCATTTTGATGTAAATAGAGGTAAATCACTATGTTCTTTGTTAAAAATTTGCATATGTTTTGAAGTTTACAATTTTTATTTGAAGTTTAAGTTTTAAAAACAGTTCATCACACATATTTGTGGTTTAATTTCACATTAATTTCCATATTGTATAAATGACTGGAAAAAACTTGAGCCCCTGCCCCTGTATAATCATGTGCACGTCCCTGTTCTAGCTCCAAGGTGAATCTTCACTGCTCATGTTCTCCTCAGAAATAGTCACCTCACTCCCCTCAGGTTACTGTACACATGCACCAACTATCTGCTTCAGGTTTGAAATGGAGCTTCATGGTTGTCTTTTGGAGAAATGAACAGTCAAGTTGTGTTTGAAATTTGATTTTTTTCAGGGGCAAAAGGAAGCCTCTGCATTCTTGTCAAATATGTAAACAGCATGTTTTTGCAGGTGCTAAAAAACAGACTCTGAGTGTGTGTGTGTGTCTGTGTGTGTGTGTGTGTGTGTGTGTGTGTGTATGTTGGCGTGTGTGTATATGTGTGTGTATCCTGCAGTACTCTGTACTCCTGCAGTGGCCAAAAAGACTTTTAAGAATGTGGATTTTTGGGTCATCTTTGGCGCCCCCTAGAACTGCAGTACTCTGTACTCCTGCAGTGGCCAAAATGACTTTTAAGAATGTGGATTTTTGGGTCATCTTTGGCGCCCCCTAGAACGTAAACCGTGGGGTGCAGCGTCATGATTTTTACAACTTTGAATGGGCATGGGGTGTAGATTGCCCTGAGCAAATTTGGTATCGGTGGGACGAAAGCCTTAGGAGGAGATAGCCACATTCCAATGTGTGCGAATCGGCAAAAAATGCAAAATAGCCCTTTAACCGTACATTATACAGATATGCGCTCTTTGACTTTTTCGTAGATCTAATTGAGATACACATGATTGTCAATTTTTGTGTCAATATGACAAAGCGTTCAGGCGTGACACTCAACAATGTGTATTTTTATGTAAGGGGACAAGAAAAAATTGACTTTTTTCTCCTACCATGGGGGGGCGCTCTTTTGGGGAGTAAAAATTCCTTCACAAATGTGTTGATGGCTGGACATTGCATCATCCTAGAAAACTTGGAGGCCAGTGAGGACAAAAATAAAAAGTTATAAAACATTTAAGAATGTGGATTTTTGGGTTATTTTTGGCGCCCCCTAGAACCTAAACCATGGGGTGCAGCATCATGATTTGAATAACTTTTAATGGCCATGGGGTGTAGATTGGCCTGAGCAAATGTGGTGCCGGTGGAACGAAAGCCTTCGGAGGAGTTAGCGAAATTCCAATGTGTGCGTATCGGCAAAAAATGCGGAATAACCCTTTAACTGTACATTTGACAGATACGCGCGCATAGACTTTTTTGTAGATCTTATTGAGTTACATGTGTGTGTCAATTTTTGTGTCATTTTGACAAAGCGTATAGGCGTGACACTCAACAATGTGTATTTTCACCTAAGGGGACAAGAAAAAATGGACTTTTTTCTCCTGCCATGGGGGGGCGCTCTTTTGGGGAGTAAAAATTCCTTCACAAATGTGTTGATGGCTGGACATTGCATCATCCTAGAAAACTTGGAGGCCAGTGAGGACAAAAATAAAAAGTTATAAGACTTTTAAATATGTGGATTTTAGTGTTATCTTTGGCGCCCCCTAGAACCTAAACCTTGGGGTGCAGCGTCATGATTTTGATAACTTTTAATGGCCACGGGGTGTAGATTGGCCTGAGCAAATGTGGTGCCGGTGGAACGAAAGCCTTCGGAGGAGTTAGCGAAATTCCAATGTGTGCGGATCGGCAAAAAATGCGAAATAACCCTTTAACCGTAATTTTGACAGATACGGCCGCACTGACTTTTTTGTAGATCTTATTGAGATACATATGTGTGTCAATTTTTGTGTCAATATGACAAAGCGTACAGGCGTGACAGTCAATAGTGTGAATTTCCACCTTAGGGGGCGCTATGGAGCCATTTTGCATTTTATTGTTTGGGCGACTTCAGAATATCGAATTTTTCACCAGGCCCGGTCGTCCTGCCAAATTTCATGAGTTTTCGCCAGTGGGAAGTGGGCCATTTTCCAGTTCAAAGGGGAGGAAAAAGAAGAAAGAAAGAAACAAAGAAAAACCCCTACAGGAATAACAGGGCCTACGCCCGGCTGCTCTGCAGCTGGCTCGGGCCCTAAAAAGAAAGAAAGAAACAAAGAAAAACCTCTTGGGGAATAATAGGGCCTACGCCCGGCTGCTCTGCAGCTGGCTCGGGCCCTAAATACCTTAAAAGGCAGTAAATAAAAAAGAGGTGATAAAACACAAAATAGTAACTCTAGGACTAAAATACAGTGAAATCATTTAATGCACATTAAGCGATTAAAACAAAATTTAACTAAAAGCCAGACTAAAAAGATAGGGTTGAGTTTACTTTTAAAAATATGAACAGTAAGTGTCGCTTTCAGGTCTGCAGGTACTCCATTCCACAGGGGGCCGTAATATTGGAACGACGATTCACTGTATGTTTTAGTTTTTACTTTGGGAGGAATTAAAAGACCACTACCTGTAGACCTGAGGGCTCTACTAGGCCCATATGGTTAAAGCAAATCAGATGAATAAGAAGGACCAAGACCATTAAGAGCTTTAAAACCTAATAAAAGAGCCTTAAAATCTACTTTAAAAGAGATGGGTTGCCAGTGAAGAGATTTTAAAATTGGTGTGATGTGGGCTCTCTCCCTGGTCTTCATCAGCATGCATGCAGCTGAATTTTGTAGATTTTGTAGAAGCTGAGGCTGTGAAATGTTCTTATTAGGAAGACCAGAGAGGAGAGCATTGCAATAGTCTATTCTACATGCGATAGAAGCATGAATAAGAGTTTCTGCATTGACTTGAGAAAGAAACTGGCGCACTTTGGATTTTTAACCTCTTTGCACGGATTAAGAGCTAGAACTCAGAGTTTTTTCTCCAGTTTCTCTCTTTGTTTTGTCCTGATTTAGCAGCGAAAAGTTGTCAGCCATCCAGGACTGGATGTCTAAAATACAATTTAAAAGGGCATAAATGGGCCCAGTGCCATCAGGAGACATGTCAATGTAAAGCTGTGTGTCATCAGTATAGCTGTGAAAGTTGGTATGCCTCCTGATGATGTCTCCTAATGGCAACATGTAAAGATTAAAAAGTGTAGGACCTAAAATCTCATCCTGTGGAACGCCACATTCCATTTCATATGTTTTTGATGAGCATTCCCCTGTGCTAATAAAACATTTCCAATCATTTATTTTCAGCCCTCACTCTTGACACATATGCTGCCATATTTTCATATTCCCCATCAAATTTAGAAACATTTTGAACCCACATTGTTGTATTTACATGAGTGAAGAGGTAATTTAAAGTAATAAAAATTCATTAAAAACGGTCATTATTTAAACAAGAAAAAGTATGAAGTTTTAGCAATAATTTCAAATTTTTGAGTTGAAGCGATATTCCGGCGTAAAACTAATTACGGGTCAAACAAACCATAATGCCAGGTTAGACACCCCCCTCAAGAGATGAATGTTGCTGACTGCTTACTTCTCTAGTTATATCAACTTCAGTCACGACTGCACGATAGCAATACACAGCGGGCTAAGGAGCCAGCATAAACCTCAACCAAAAATTCATTCTATAGTCACAAACAATGCTCAGAACAGCACCTAACTTCATCAACAGTACATATAGGGTCCCAGGGATAGTGCTAGCCACCAAACATCTTTTTAACTTTGCTGAATTTATTTAGCAAAGATACTAAACACAACTTCCCACTCTCTCTCTATCCAAACTGATGAGATTCAGTTCTGGATTAAAAAAAAAAAAAAGAAAAGGTTCACTGTCTTTCCAAGTTTTGTGTCATTATAGGCTTTAAATTTAGGAACACAATGCCATAGGTTTAAATACAGGTCTGCCTACTTATTATTTGGCATAAATGTTCAGTTCATCTAAAAAGACATCTGCAAAACCACATTAATAACTATGCTACAGACATTAACTGAGAACTCAAAAGAAAGGAAAGAGATTAATTTCAAGACTACATCTTTTTTCATTATACACTGTATGTTTAGTCAGTTAAGACATTTTCAGCTGCATCTTTTATTGGTCCGGAGTTAATTCACCATTAACAGTGAGAATTAAACATACCATTTGTGCTGGATGAGCCAAACATGCTGCAGGCAAACAGTCCTCGTCTGACTATTAGCCATGTAGACACATTTACATTTACAAACTTAATGCCAAACACTTTCCCTCCAGATGCAAAAGTACCTCCAATATGTGCAGAGCTGCTTTAGTGCTCACATTAAGCTCGGGGATATAAAACTGGAGGCAGGGACAACTATGGAGGAGAGGGAACTGTGCAAGAAAACAATGAATCTGAGTAAAACCAAGAGCCAAACAATCAGCAGACTTTCCCAAGCAAACTGCACAGGCCAAACATGCAATTCCATTTATTTATTTATTTATTTATTTTTTTTGGGGGGGGGAGTCAATATGTTTTCCTTATGATATAGTATTACTAGAGCAAGACAATCTGAATTTAGTTTGTTAGCTGCTTAGAGGGAGCAGAAAGGATGCACTACATGACAGCTTCTCAAAAGTAAAGCCAGAATGTTTGGTCATAGTACAAAAACACAGCAAACATTGAAGTTACAATATATATGTTGATCAGTTCAGGCAAGGCTCATCATCAAACCTGAAAAATTCAGTTCAGATTGGATATAGTGGGCTCTTTTTTTGTACTCGACAGTGGCGTGGCAGAGGGTGGCGCACCCCATGCTGTTAAAAATTTGATTTGCTTGCCTCTCCAAAATGATGTGCAACTAAAACTTCAGACTTCAGCTAATGCTTCAAACTGCATTTTTCATCTACAACCACTCTGCTATCCCCAATTCTCAATGGTGTCAGCTGGTGGCGCATGCAAAGTCCAAGTTTAAAGAGGGCAGTCCGCACCACTTTTACACCTGTTATTAATTGCGCACACAATGATAGTAGATCACCTTCAACACGCCCACTAATAGCACATGCAACTTTATAGTTGGCACACACAGTTTAGCGCTCATTATTTGGGATCTTAGTAGATCAGGCTAAGAATCCCTGATCTGATCCTGCTTTTAAAATGTTGCTTAAAGTGAACTATGCATACACACTCACACAAACACCCACACACCGCATCAGTATACCATGTAACTTCTTCTAGCTTTGGAAGACCAAGGACAAGTCCTAACTTGCTACTCCAATTAAACATGCCTGTGGAGCTTGAGCCACATGTAGCCACAAAGGAATGCACTTCTGACAGCAAACTGCAGCAGGAACAAAAGCAACGACAACAAAATAAAGGAAAAAAGTAGAGCTACTCTCCACGTTACCATCAAAAGAAAAGCCATATGCCACAAAGAACACCAGGATTAGTCTCAGATTTTGAATAATCAGGAAACAACCAAGCAGAGCAGGCAGTTGGGTACCAATCCCATGTTTCAAGAGCTCGATATTAACACCAGAGCCTTTCATGTCTGCTGTTTTAGTCAGGGCAGGCTTACGCAAGTTTTGTTTTTCCCATTAGTAGAGAGAGCTGCGCACGCTGTCAGTCAAGCAATGCAACATAGGTCTCACACTTGAAACTACCAACTTGAGCCTAAGACCTACTTTAGTCCAACTAGTCAAAGCTTTGGCTGGCTTTACCTAGCTATGTCAACTGACATATCTGGTCTTTAGTCTGACAATACATGTTGCGGCAACAAATGGCCTGTGGCATTAGGACGCACTCTAAAAAAAACAGCCACTTACAATTCGAAGAATTTATTTAAAAAAATAAAATAAAGTGTCCACAAAAGCTTCTTGAAAATTTATATTAAATTCAAAGATAGCGAAAGTTCTGCTTTAACTAAGAAACAAGTCCAATATACATTTGTAGTCAAAAACTATATAAAACCACCACCTTCACCTGCCTGACACTGGCAGACTGACACCACCAGCCGTGTCGTGTGACCACAATCATGTGACCAAAAACAATAGCGTCAGAATTTTAGACCAATAAATCAACTGTGCTTAGATTCAACCAAACAAAAAAGACGCAAAGTTATAAATAATGTCTTAAATATGAAATGGCTACAACACTCTGACCCTTAATTATTGTTTTTACAACTAATTATAAATTAAACACATGCAGGCCTAAGAAATTATATGCAAGCTTGAATATTAGATTCTACTAAGTTGTATTTCATCAACTCAACTCAACTTTATTTGTAGAGCACTTTAAAACAACCACAGCTGTACAAAGTGCTGTACATAGCAGGACAAAACAACAAGATAAAAAACAATCAAGAACCATATAAAACAATGGATAAAATAAAAGCAGAATTAATAATAAAATATAGCTTCAATGTTTTTAAAAACTAATTTAAAAACATAGAAACAGATAACTAAAAACAAACCATAGAACACTAAAACAGGAGCCGAGTCTCATGCAGGGTTAAAAGCCAATGAATAAAAATGGGTTTTAAGACGAGTTTTAAAAATGGACAGTGTGGGGGCTTGTCTAGTTTGGAGGGGTAGCTCGTTCCATAAAATTGGGGCAGCAACAGAAAAAGATCTATCCCCTCTGAGCTTCCGTTTGGACCTCGGTACCTCCAGGAGCAGCTGATCAGCTGACAACCAAATTAATACTAGTTCACCCCCCTTTTTTGTGTTCTAGTCCAACAAAATAATTAGAATTTTCATTCTTCTGCAGGGACACTAACCCAAAAGACATGCATAACATGCTATGGCTATGACAATAGCCTGTAAGTAATATACCACATATCAATTAAAGAGATCTGTCAAATACCAATCAAAAGGCTGCTGAAAAGCGCTCATTAATTCCTTATTAATCATCATGTTACATGGACTGTTTGTCAACAAATGCCTAATTTGCAGAAAGTTTGCAAAGTATGCAGATAAGTATACAAAATTCTTTAATAATCCTTAACCTTCAACTGTATCACTGGCAGCAAAATTTCAACCAACAGTTACGTTAAACATCTCAGGACACACCAAGCTCTTTTTTCATCCATCTGACTGATGAAAGCAAAATACAACAAATAATCAATCAACTTCATAATTCAAAGACTAAAGATATCTTCGGATTGGACACTGAATTCATAAAAAAGCACAACACTCTATCAAAGCCCACAACTCATCTGATAAATGTATCTATTCATGCTGGTGAATTTCCTTCATTATTATAACAAGGAGTTATCACTCCAATACATAAAACTGGCGACCCCGACAAAGCCTGCAACTACAGGCCTATTTCAATTCTCTCTGCAATCTCAAAAGTTCTGGAAAAGGTAGTAGCAGAGGAACTGATCACCTTTCTTAACAACAACCAGCTCCTCCACCCCAAACAATTTGGTTTCCCATTTGGATACTTAACAGAAATGGCCACATGCTATCTTGCAGAAACCATTAAGAAATCATTAGATGATGGTAAAATTGTAGGAGTGGTATTTTTGGATCTGAAAAAGGCCTTTGATACTGTAAACCATGATTCACTTTTAAATAAACTCAAATGTCTAAATTTTGCCACAAATACCCTCAGCTAGTTTAAATCTTTTCTGGAATCTCGACAGCAATGTGTTAAAATTATTGGTTCAATATCATCCTTTCAAAACTGCAATCTGGGCATGCCACAAGGCTCAATTCTGGGGCCACTGCTTTTTTCTATATATTAATGAGCTGCCTGACAGCTGTAAGGATGTTTGCTGCCAAATGTACGCTGATGATGCAGTCATTTACATTACAACAAACACCTCACAAATGGCTGCAGAGTCTTTAAATAGGCATTTAGCAAGGATTCCACAGTGGCTTAAAAACAACTTTTTAACCTTAAATTGTGAAAAAACTGTTTCCATGTGTTTTTCCAAAAGGCAAAAACTGCATAATGATTTTACAGTCACTATTGATCAGAAGGAAATACGGAAATACAAACAAACCTTAAAAACACTAGATCAAAAGCCAATGAAATGGCACCATTGCATAGTTGCACACAAGTACAATCATAGACTGTATAGACTATGGACAACTTGGTTCCGCCTACCACCTATATACGGATTTGAAGCCGGGATTTTTCTCCATTTCCTGAAACCAGCACTGTAGCTGTGCTGTAGCGATGCGCGCATTCGAGCGCGCAGTCGCCGAGAGTCGCTGTGATGACACTCAGCTCAAACAGTGTATCCTCTGAGAGAGCTACGCAATCCCTGAACGCCCATAGGCTGTATCAGGTGTCAATTATAGAAAACATGAACCCCCTAATAACTTTATAAACTGAGCTTCACAGAAAAAAAGAGGACTTGAGCACAAACCAGTCTTACTGTAACTACATGTCAACATCACAAGCAGGGGGGAGAAAAATGTATGTTCTGTATAATAAATTTCTAAAGTTTGTCCACAGCCCCATAAGCTTTGCTGGCAGAGGCAGGATTTATGACCTTTACTGCAGCCCATCAACAGAGGGTGCTGTTCTCGGAGTGGCTTCACCCAGCAAGGAGGCAGACGCTGTCCATTCTATATACACTGGATGAGTACAACTTGTTAAGCTTCAACAATTTAATAAATCTCTCATTTCTTAAACTGGTTTTTAAGTCTGGAATGGCTTTGCCCCAGACCTACAGTAGTTAGTGAAATGATCGAAAAAATACTCATATATAGGGGCTTCTACAAGAGAAACAGTCAGTTGAGACTGTAAACCCGCAAAGCACAAGACAGCTTTTGGCCAGTCTTCCTTCTCAGTCAAAGGTCCACAGATTTGGAATATATTACCATCAGAAATAAAAACATTAAAGGACCCCAAAGCTTTCAATATCAAAACAAAACTGTGGCTGAAACAAAGATAAATCTGTGAACACTAACTTAGATATATGTATATTATGGCACGTATGTGTGTCTATGTATATGTAGGCATATATGTATCTATGTGTGGGCGTGTATCTATCTGTGTGCGTGTGTATGTATGTATGTATGTATGTACTGTATGCATGTATCAGTGGCGGCTGCTGGTCTTTCAAGGAGGGGAAGCTCATTTTTCTGGCCTACATCATAATTGTGTTTGTTTATTAGTATGTAACAGAACAGAGTCGCCAAACACAACGGCAGTCGTTTTTAACAAAGACAAAAGTCGCTGAGGATCGGTAAAGTCTCCGGAGCAGTTAAGAACAACGGAATGAATAACTTGGAAAATGCTCTGGTAGATGTTTTATTCTTCAAGATCGCTGATTTGCTTGTTTAGCTGTCAATCAAAAAAGGATTTCGCCTCAGACAGCTCATCCAGTCATGGACGCAGAAGCTCGGAGTCCGGGAGAAAGTCGGGACCGCCCTCTCGCCATAGAACTCCAGTGAAGCTGAGCTTCCGATGGGCGGGACAAAGCCCAACATTTATCCAATGAGCATCTAGTTTCGCTGCTGGAACAACCCACTTTGAGCTTCCACATTGAAGTCAGCAGAAGCCCAGCGTCCGGCTGTGTGAAGCACTGAGGCGCTGCGAGGATGAATGAGAACGAAGTTATGCCGGTTACCTGTGATTATCAGCTTCTTATCACAGTGTCTGAACAAAAGATGAAGGCTTTCCAGCGTGTATTTAGTTAATGAAATGTACACACAGTAGTACGTACTTCACCACTTTTTCTTTTTTTGGGGGGGTGACATTTTAAGGGAAGCCGAGCTTCCCTTGCAGTCTTAGAGCAATCGCCACTGGTATGTATGTATGTATGTATGTATATGTATATGTAAGTCTCTGGATTTTTGTGGATAGAAGAAACTGCTTGTTTTGTCAGCTTTCTTGTTTTTGTGCAAACATATGATTGCCTGTCTGCACCTGCTATAACGTCAGTTTTTATTTAGTAGTTTATGTATTATTTGCTGTATTTCTTGCTGTCTAACCAGGGACAAGGACTGCAAGTTAGCCATGGCTAGAAGTCCTGCATACACAGCATCGGTTGCTCTTAATTAGATGCAACAATACTTGATGTACAGTCCCTGTCAAATAAATGAATTAGAAAATAATAATAAAAATAATTAAATAAATTAATAATAATAAAATTGTTCAAATATTCATTAACTTTACTGCATATTCTGTTCAATTCCAGGAACTTTCCCCTGTGAGGCAATTTGTTCCAACCATTGCACCTCCATGCAGCCCTTAAGCAAATATGCTCCCATTAAATTTCAAAAACACTGCAAGATGAGACATTTGAGTTTACATGTGCAGACTTGGTGATGGCACTTAATCATGACAATTTCAGACATTTTAGTGGGCCATGCCATAATACACATGCTTAGCAATTTTCATGCATTATTATTTTTTTTTCTTCTATTTTTTTTCTGTTTTCAGAAGTCACAAAACTCAAAGAAGATTCATTATTAGGCTGCTAATAAACTGTGATTATATACATGCTATATTTCTAACCTTTTGTACCTTTTGTAGTCCTTTTTCACGTGATTGCTGTATGTATTTTTTGAAGATCCTGGAGCTGAATCTTGGTAGCGGTCAAAACTTTAATCCTGTTCATTACAAACTGGTTGGTGACTCAATAGACAGGGTGCAATTCAGGTCAAGGAAAGTGATGCTGCTGTTTGGTGTTTTATTTTCCCTCTGCTGATGAAGAGGTCATAATGGGTTTTCGATGGGGGGGGCTTTAGATAGCAGGAATGTAATTAGGTGACCTTTAAACTTTCGGGCTGATGTTTACTTCTCAAGAGTACATCTCATCTGCACTTAACCCAGACTGAAACCTCATCACAACAGGACCTAACCCCTTGCTGCTGTGATTTGGTGGTTCCATCTGCATGCATTCACACCTGCACTGACAAATGTTTGCTTGTGCAACACTTTTCAGCACTTGTGCCAAAGCTCCCTGCAAAATCTTGTCCAAGGACTAATACGGTTGTTGTCACTTTCTGCTGTTCCTTTGTTGGGGATAATTCCCCCTGGACCACCTGAAAATCTATTTTTTAATTATTTGCTTCCTTCCAGTCTTTATTTGATTTTCCATCCTCGTACTCTGGCTTTAGTTTTCAATAGGCAAACACTGCCTTTTCACTCCTTCTGTCTCAAACCTCTTTATTCTATTTTCTTTCACTTTACCTCATCTACCCCTCGCACTTTCACTGTAGCCTTTCATCTCCTCTCCACCACCTTTTATTGTGGCTTTCCATTCTTCTCTCTCTCCACCCTTTAACCTCTGATGCACTCTGTCGTCCTTTTCCCCCTCTTTGTTCCTTATGCTTTGGCTGTTATTCCCTCCTTTTATCCCAGCACTATTTTCTTCCCTTGTTCAATTTTCTTCCTTTCTCTCCTGAATTACCTACCTTGACCTTTCAGAGAACATTTATCTCCACTAGACCACTGTTTGCCCAGCCTCACAGCAACTAAATTTCACATCTTTTGCCATCAACCCCAGAAAACTACACTGATAGGTAAATGTCATGTTTTATCTGTCAGTTGAAAAGAGATGATGATCATTTCAAAGAGGGTTATTAACAATTGAACTGACGCAATCTTGATTTTGGATTCAGTATCAAAGAAACAAAGCTTATCAGTTTACTCCTTGTTTTACCTACTTTTGTCTTGAGCTCCTCGATAGGTTAAAAAACAACAACAAAAATAACAAATGAAATGTTTTCCTCTCCAAGCTGATGTACCACTCTTGTGACCATCATCTGTTTAAGTTTCTTTTGGTTCCAGAAACCCCCCATTTGCCAAATAGTGTAAATGCATCATGCACGTGCTTTGAAGATTAAAAATGAAAATCCCATGAAAAACCTTAAATCCTAAACACCCAGGCTCGTCAAATAGTGGTTATATGTGGACCAAACCTTAAGTTACATCAATCTCCAAAATCACTCAACAGCCTAAACAATGTGGAGAAAAGAAGTTTGCAAGTAAGCCAGCTTACTTCATACCTATCTTTGCTGAAAGCTGTACATGGGCAGTACAAATTTAGATGGAGCTTCAAGAAAGTAGTCGTGTTCAAAACATTCAGACCGTACTGAGTGGTACAGCTTTAAAAGATAGTGTTCTATGAAATGAAAAAAAGATAGCAAAAAGTGAAAGTTTGACCCTGCCTGGACCATTAATTATTTTCTTGTTGTTGTTTTGTTTTTGTTTTTTGTTTAATTGAAGTTAGAAGAACATGCACTTTTGTGAATGTAAGTAGCTACCCTGTCTGACTACAACCATGTGCAGAGTTGAAACTGTGCTGAGCTGTTCACATAGAGCAGGGTTCAAGCATTGCTCAGAAAAAAAAAAGACTGTGTGAATCAAATGTAGTTGAGTAACTCATTTCACTGCTGTACGCTAGAGAGAAGAGCTGAGGTTTGTAGGTGTTCTCTAAAGAGACGATTCTGTAGCTTTTTCTTAAAGGTACAGAGGGACTCTGTGGATCTCATATAGTTCGGTAGTTCATTCCACCACTGAGGTACAAAAGAGGAGACAAGTCAGGCTGCTGACTTGGGACCTGATCCACTGAATGTTTGTGCGTATCAAAACACATGCAAACTTGATTATGTTCACAAAGCCAATGTACTAACCAGGTGCACCATAGATTGCGCCTGTCAAATGAGCTAAATACTACACTGTCACAAAAAGGATCCATGCCATATCTCCTGTAGAAAAACTTTTTTGCAACACTGCATTTTCCTGCATCTTGATCATTCC